GGGGGGCTGGGGATTTAGCTCAGTGGCATAAGCGCCTGCCTTGCAAGCAGGCAGTTGTGAGTTCGATCCCTGGTACCGATAAAAACGAAAAAAAAAAAAAAAAAAAAAAAAAAAAAGACTAAAAAGGGTTGGGGATATATGTAGCTCAGTTAGAAGGCCCTGGGTCTAGTCCCCAGTGCCAGAAAAAAAAATCGATTGATTGAAATCTACCTTTCAATCATTCTTTTAATATCATTATTCTGAATCCTAAAAAAAAAATTTTAAAGGGCTGGAGATTTAGCTCAGCAGCATAAGCGCCTGCCTGGCAAGTGCGAGGTCATGAGTTTGATCCCCATACCAAAAAAAAAAAATTTTTTTTTTTAAAAATGGGCTGGAGGTGTGACTCAGTTGCAGAGTATGTGCTTAGCATGCACAAGGTCCTGGGTTCAAAAATAAAATACAAATACAAATAAGAAAAAAAATATTCTCCCTTCAAAAAGAAAAAGGAAACTACTGCTGGGGAGAAATTCAAAGCCTGCTACGCAAACCTTCCCATCTAGGAAAATTGCTCGAGCAACGCAGCAGGCCGCGTATTCATTTGGAAACCGGGGGGAGAGTGAGAGTTCTTCATTTACAGATTTACTCATGGCTACGCCGAAGATTCTAGAAAGGCTGGCGATTGCAGCGCGGTATCTGAAATGAGCGTCAGTGAGAACGTCCAAGGTGGCTCGCTTTCCAGTCCGCGGTGGTCCCTGGTGGAGACGGAACTCACCAGCTGCACGCATACTCGGGAGCGCCTTCTCCTAACTGCGCCTCAGCGCCTCCTCTGCTGGCCATCTTCACACTGCCCATGCACCAGGCACTGAACTAGACCCTGAGGATGCAGCCAACAGAAACACGCGCTCTGGAATCCCCCTGCTTTCATGGAAACAGAAGTCAGTCAGAGGCGGGAGTCAGCCGCCCAATCAGTGGGTGACACGTGACAGGAGCACCAGCGGCTGGATGCCTGAAACCTGCTTAGCACTGAGTCCTATATGCACTAGTTTTTCACACACACATACACACAGGCACCTGAGTTGTGAATAAAAGAAGTCAAAACCCATGATAGCATTTAATTTGTAAATTAGTACAGTAAGAGAGGAACAATACCCAGCAATAAAATAGAATGATACAGCATATACCATACTGCCAGTTAGGTAAATAGGGCCTCTCTTATTTCTAGAATTTTACGTTTAGTATTTTTGAACCTTGGTTGACCACAGATAACAGAAACCACAGAAAGCAAAGCCTCAGATAAGAGGGAACTACTGATTTCTGACAGGAGAGGATTTGCTATCAGACTGGAAGAAGTAAAGACTGTTAATGTTGGGGGCTGGAGATTTAGCTCAGCGGCATAAGCGCCTGGCAGTCGTGAGTTCGATCCCGGGTACCGATAAAAAGGAAAAAGACAAAAAAAAAAAAAAAAAAAAAAAAAAAAAAGACTGTTAATGTTGCACTTACAGGAGGGAGCACACACTGGGTGTGATGGCGTATGCCCGTAATCTCAGCACTGGGGAGGTGAGGCAGGAGGATCACTGAGTTCAAGGCCAGCCTGGGCTACATAATGAGTACTGGGAAGTCTGCAAACTGGTATAAATTGGCAGAGCCTTTTTTAAAGAACATTAAAATATATCAAAATTTTAAATATGCTCACTTTTTCTTTCAACTCCCCTTTCAGAAATTTTTTTCCTATAGGGGGTACCTTGGTTCATGAACTTAATTCTTTCCATGATTCTGGTTGCAGAATTTGTACCACGATTCTGCTCACCACCAAGGTGCCGCTGTAAATACAGATGCCTCACCATGAGAAAATGATAAGGATGTAAGGTAACATAATCAGCTCGACACATCCACTCCACAATGAATACGTAGCTCAAAACATGTTGTAGAGCATAAGTATATGCAATTGGTATTTGTCAACTAAAAACTTTTGTGAATATAGAAAATAGCGTCACGGCCACCTACATGTGAACGCACACGATGTGTGCTTCATGGAGGACAAGGGGCCTGGGAGGGAGGGAGTGAAGAAAGGTTGACGCTCGCTCCCTCTGTGCAGGGCATGACAGTCGTGTGTGCACCATGTCACTGCGGTTTGAATGTTTTACGCAGAGATGTTTTCACGCAGTGTTAAAGGGCTGACGTTAACCTGCAAACCGAGCACTCTAACTGGGGAGAAAATCACACACATACATGAGCGGCTGTGTATGCATCACTGCACCCGCAGTGTAAACGCCCCGCACAGCCCAAGCAGGCCGTGAAAACCCGAGAGTCGGCAGGGGCACCCTCGCCTGGGCTTGCTCGGATCCCACAGTCACACTTGTACTCGCTTATGCGTTTGTGTAGCTGTGTACGAGCTTATCACCTGTGTAGCTTTGCACCCTCAGCACCACAAAAGAGGTTATTTTTAAAATCATTCTCTTCTTCTGTAAACTGCTCAATTCGTATTTCACATTTTCCTTGTCTATACAGAAAAAAAAAAAATCTTCAAATCCAAGAAATGAAAATGGAAATTGTGAGGAACCCGAAATTCAAATTAGGTGGCCGTTATAAGGGCACAACTGGTTATTTAGAAATGAATCAGGACTCCAGGCTGGGACAAATTATAGTGCTGGGCACTAAGAGAATTAGCAGATCTCCTTGCAAAAGCACATTCCTAATTCTGAGCCCATGTGCACAAGAGGAAAAGCTCTAGAGAACAAAAATGGATGGATTTGTCTCATATTTTTAGTGCTGTGGATGGAACCCAGGGCCTCACGCATGCTAGGCAAGCGTTCTGGGGCTAAGTTACATCCCCAGCCCATTTTATTTTTGAGACTGGTCTTGCTATAGAGCAGGCTGGCCTTGAACTTAGATATCTTCCTGCCTCAGCCTCCCCAGAAGCTGGGGATGACAGGCATGTGCCTCCCTGCCCAGCCACACCCTATACCGTGATGGATGTCATGGTTAATGGGTGGCTACAGTCACTGCTGGCTCCGGAGGTGCTATTGGTTAGCACTCAGGTACGTACACAGTCATCTCCGCTCACTAAGTTGTACACTTATGTCCTATACATTTAATTGTACATCAGTTTTTACCGTGATGACAAATGTCTTGAGGGGATTTCAGAGCAATCATCTACAGAGGGTGGAGAGGATCACTTTAAATTAATGTGAACACGGAAATTCAACTCCTTGGAGTAACTCAAAGAAAACCCAAATGAAGACAGAGAAAGTCACAGCATTGCTTCTACAGTCAGGGGCTAGACATGTGACTCAGAGATGGACCCCAGGGGCTAACGTTCACCTGCTGATGCACCCACAACATAGGCATCCTCTGAGCACCTCCTTGAGCCCCGGAGTGCAGAGGGGAACAGGTGAGACAAAGTCCTTGTTCTCTCTAAGAAACCAGCCAAAGAACAGCAAGGTGACCATCGGGCATGACAAATGCAATGGAGGAGAACACAAGAATGCATCTCTAGGAGCCAATAAAGGCCTGCAGAGGGCCTGAAATGTTAGGTGCCAGCAGGGAGGATCTCTTTCAAGAGGCAATGCGGGAGCTATGTTGCAGAATGAAGGACAGAAGACTAGAGGCAGGTAGAAGAGGCAGTGCAAAAGTCTTGAGACAGGGGGGTGACCTGTCTGAAGAAATGATAGCAAATCTGCATGGCTAGTGCTTACTGAAAATAAGGAGTGGCTGGGGTTGGGTTGGAGAGCTGGGCAGGGGCCAAAGGACGGAGGGAGGACTCTGGGAGACAGACTAAGACACTGGGAGCCACCGAAGGGTTTTCAGCAGCCAGCTGACATGGTCTGCGCCGAGCAGGGTGGATGGGAGTGGGTGGATGGCAGCAGAGAGGCCACTGAGGAAGTGACTACCATGCTGGCGTTGGCGGGAGCTGGCGGAGACATGGACCACAGTGTCCTGGGTCGAGGTGGAGAAAGGCAGAGTTCAGCTGGATTCTAGAAGTAGAACTCACAGAACTGCTGATGTGAGGATGGGAGACCTGCTGATGCGGTGGAGATGAGAAGTGAGGAAAGGGGAGGGTGGGCAGACGGAGACGCTCCTTAGGATGGAGGGGAATTCTGGGGCGGAACCAGGCAGTGGGGAACCCGAGAGTTGCACGTAAGGTGCCTGTGTACTCTGCAAGTGGAACTGCCAAGTGAGGTGGCCAGACGGAAACTGGGGCTCAGAAGGGGTGTCAAGGTACGGGGAGATACAAAGTACAAGGTCACCATCCCACAGACGGTCCAGGAACCCCAGCGGGGTGCAGAGAATCAGGGCTGGGGCTGCCCACAGCACCGGCACCAGAAGCCTGCACTGGCCAGGGAAGCACAATGAGGAGGGAGGAGAGCCAGGTCCACCACTGCGTTCTTGGGCCCCAGCCAGCCCAGGCCCTCAGCAGACCCTGCCCTCCTGAGTGCCCCGAGGAAGGAGGGACTGAGCAAGGCCACCTCACCACTGGATGTTGCTGGGAGAGGCAAGGAGAGAGCGCCAAGGAGCCCCCAGCTGCAGCCATCGGAAACCTTGATCAGCAGTGTTGTTGACAAGAGCTTTGTCATGACTGTGGGAACAGAGCCAGGGCTCTCACATTTGGATAGAAACCAAGATGACCATGGAATTCAGCTCAGCCCCAGTCCCACAGTGACTCACCAACTTCCTGCTGCAGCACCCAGACCAAGCCACTCTCACTGTCCCACACACCCAAGACCTCTACCTTGGTGGCTCTCTAAGTGCGAGACCCCCGCCAGGACAGGTGCTGCCTCCACAGATGTGAGCACGCTTCCTGGGGCAGGGGATTTGGCCTCGTGACCAACTTACCCCTCCCCCTGGCCTGGGAAGCCTCACAGCTGGGATCCCTACCTGCCGCCCACCCGCCTGGTCCTAGCTGTGCATACATCCTCTCCACTGCCCGCTGCTGAGGGGTGCAGCGGTCACCAGACTTCTCATCCCTTCTACAGTCAGAGAAAATGAAATCAGTGCACCAACAAGCCCACGCCTGGACTTACCCCGGACAGTTAGAACAGAGGGAGATGTTTCAGCCCGCTCGTTAATGCGGCTGCTGTTTCGAACCCAGAAAATGTTGACCGGCTCAGGGGGCCCCACAGCATGGCAGGTGAGGTTGAAGGCTGTGTTTCTGGTGACATTGAGGCTCTCGGGCTGCTTAGTGAAGTAGGGAAGTCCTGCAGGGAGAAAGTCAGAGGAAGGCCGGTCAGACCACCCCAGAGGCAGAGCCCCTGGGGGAGCGACAGTGACTGCCAAGAGGTTGACAAGGTTTCTTCACACACTAATTCAGGTCTGCATTGCCAGGTCCGCCCTCTGACCTCCAGAGACTCATTCCTACCTGTCACCTCTGGTCGCTTTAGGACATCTTCCCAGAGAGGCTATAAAATCTGACCCAGAACTGGTTTGCCCAGAAGGATCTACAGATTTACCATAGATATTCTCTCTGTCTCTGCCTCTGCCTCTTTCTCTCTCTCTCTCTCTCTCTCTCTCTCTCTCTCTGTCTCTGTCTCTCTTTGCCTCTGTCTCTGCCCCCCCCCCCGTTTGTCTCTGTCTCAGCCTCTCTCTCTCTCTCTCTCCAGTGCTGAGGATCCAATCCATTACCCCTGCTAGGTCAGCATTCTGCTACTGAGCTACAACCCTGACTGCACGCACAGTTCTTACCTCAGATGTTGCACAATAGCACGGGACTGGCTGGCAGGTTGCCAGAATTGCTCACCAAAACAAATACAGAGTCAAAATAAAGCTATGTCTTGGATCTGCCTGAGCTATGCAGACAGTACAGTGTGTGTGTGTGTGTGTGTGTGTGTGTGTGTGTGAGAGAGAGAGAGAGAGAGAGAGAGAGAGAGAGAGAGAGAGATTTTCCAATGAGTGAATATGGATTTTCAAATCTATACATCTGGGCTGGGCTGTAACTCAGGTGGCAGAGCACGTGTTTTGCATGTGTGAGGTCCTGGATTTAATCCTCAGCCTGCATACACACGTGTGCATGTGCACACAGGCAAAATCCAGACATTAGAGTAAGGGTTGGACATTTTTCGAAGCACATGCTCATGAAAACAGAATAGACACAGTTCCACAGCACAGTCCTAAAATCTACTATCATTTCAAAATAAGGGCTATCAGGAAGCTTGGGAAAATCTCAGAGAAAGCCAGTGCATTTGTCCAAAAAGAATTTTTTAATTTTCTTGTGAGTCGGAGTCCTGCTATGTAGTTCAGGCTGGCCTCAAACTTATGACAACTCTCCTGCCTCAGCCTCACATGTGCTGGGACTATAGATGTGCACCACCACACTCAACTTTTATTCAGAATTTTACCAGGTCAAGATGACTGTCACCAGGCACTCAAACTGTGTTCTTTGGAGCTCAGAACTCTAAGATCTGGTTCTAGCAAGAATGACATAGGAAATACATGAAATAGGATTCTTTGCTTTCCAATTTCAATGTTTTTCTATTTGTATTTAACATGTTCCTGCCCTGGGCATCATTCTGAGATTTGGACAAATAAAATGCCCTATAAGCATTTTCTCCAGATGAACAGCAAATGCAGGAGACTCCTTCTCTCTGTCCAGCCTGGGATGGAAAGGTCAGGAAAGGACCTCTAAGGGGACTCCTCATGTCTTTCTCTCTCTGCCTCTCACACCCCTCCCTCCGTCCCCTCTTGCTGGCCTCCTGCCATTAGTGAGTCTCAAGTTTAGGTCACAAAAGAATGCAGTGGAGAAGCCCTTTAGTGGGAGATGCTTCTGCTTGAAAGTTAATCACCTGTTCTAAACCTTGCGATGAGGAGGCTCTGGAGAAAGCATAAGATAGGGGCCCGATCGATGGCCTTGCTGCTGGGGTGCCTGAGAGGACAGCAAGGCAGAGACCCCCCTCAGGGCAGTCTCCCAGGGAAGGGGAGCAACCACTGGGCAGCACCAAGGCTGTTTCCTCCATGTGGCCCGCACTGACAGGGTGCGCGGCTGTACGCCAAGAATGCAAACCTAGGCCCAGGGTACCAAAGTTTAGAAAGAAGATTGTCTTGTAAGATTTCAGTGCTGATGGATTGAAAGGTTTGCATGCAGAGTTACAAACAGGATAAATTCTAGATATTATGCACAAAACACTGAACACAAGTTCAAGGACAGCTCCCAGGCAACGGATGCAACGGGACACTCCAGGCTCCAGACTTACCTTGTACCTCGATGTTGATGGGGTCAGACACAATCTCGATATTGTTCACTTTCATCTTACAGATGTACGATCCATTGTCTGAGCGCTGCACGCTGGTTATGCTTCAAAGAAGAACACAGAGATATTTACAGTGACTATCCACTGAGTCCCTGACACAGGAAGAGAAAGTTCTCCCAACTTCGTTGTCATGTGCTATGATGGTTAAAATTATATGTCAGCTAGTGCAGCCGTGGTAGACAGTTGTTCAGTCAAACACCAGTCCAGATGTTGCTGTGAAGGTATTTTTCAGATGTCACTGGCTTGCATACCAGCAGCCTTTGAGTGAAGAAATTATTATTCACAACATGAACGAATGGGGGTCTGATCTACTCAGTGGAAGGCCTCACTAGGAAAGACTGGCATCTTCCAGAAAGCGGAACTTTTACCTTCGAACGGACTCAGGACCAGACGCTGCACCAGCTCTTCCCTGTGCCTCCTCCATCACCCTGCTGACCTCAGATCTGCCATCCCCACTACAGGGTGAGCAAATTCCTTAGTGGGGTGCCAAGCACAGCTCTCTCTCTCTCTCTCTCTCTCTCTCTCTCTCTCTCTCTCTCTCTTTCTCTCTCTCTTTCTCTCTCTCTCTCTCTCTCTCTCTCTCTCTCTCTCTCTCTCACACACACACACACACACACACACACACACACACACCCTACTGGTTCCATTTATCCGATGAACCCTGCTTGTCACATGTGCTATCTATCACCTGTTGTGATTTCTAGGATCAACTGTACATGAAGAATTTGCTACCAGCCCCTCAAGGCATTTTGGAAATTTGGGGACCATCGGTGGTAGTCACAATGACTAAAGTCTCAGAGTTCATCGACAGTTGCTCCATACCCTAAATAACCGCCTGAGACTAGAACCCATTTTGCATACACACACATTATCTGGCACGTTTTAATATTCACCTAGGTTCCCAGGACAGCAAGTGCCCTGACACTGGACGGCAGCCACTCCCTTGTCCTGCATGGAGGTTTCTGATGCCTCTGTCGTCATTGTAGGTCAGTCACTGACAGCACCCCTGCATTTGCTACTGTCCTGTGTCACCAAGTACAAGTCCATGGCTACGTCTTTATCTGTCTTGGATGTCGATAGCCTGGCACTCCCAAGCTGAAGGCTCCATGTATTACAGGCTTCCTTTATCTTTTTGATTTTTCTCTGGGAACATTATCTGTTAAGAAATACAGGCTCTGGTATAAAAGGCACCCTGCTTTCCATCTTTGTAACGTGTTTATAGGCAGCATGTTACATAATATATGTAGAAGCTGCACTGGGGCAAGGTGGGAAGGGAAGCGGGAATGAGGGAGGCTTTGAGATACTCTCGGGTCTTCGAGGGAGGATGCCCTTGTAGACTTAAAGGTGCCACTCACGAGACAACGTGAAGAGAACCGAGACACAGAGGAAAAAGAAAGAGGGAAAAGTGGTCCTTCCTAGGACTTGCTTCCCTAACACATCTGAGTACCATCCTTTCCTGCGGGCAGGGCCCAGGCTTTGACAACAGAAACTAGGTGATCAGACAGCTGAGCCTTTGACAGATGGCTTTGGCTGAAGGCCTGGGGCACCCTAGGAGAGAAGGTTTGCAGTCAGGGAGACAGGGCCCAGAGGGAAGGGGAAAGCCGCAGAGAGACACAGGGCATGGCTCCAGGAAGGGCACCAGCAGAGCTCTAGAACACCTGAGAAGCAAACAGGCGCAAGTAAGAGTTTGTTGCATGCGTGCCCTGTAGAAATGAGATGGCACACGATGAGCTACCTTAAGGGGTAGCTTAAACCAACCAGCAAGGGAAATCCAGCCCGTGACAGGAAACACAAAGGGAACACGATGCCAACATTGCCATTCCTCACACACTCCAGGGAGAACTCGGCAGTCTGCATGCGGCTGGGTACCTGTCTTAATTAGCAGGCCCAGGCCCATCGCCCCCTGGTACTATCAAGACTTTTGGGACGGGGGACAGAGGAGTGGCTGGGCCTGTCCCACGTTGTGGTTTGGGAGCGGAGACCAAGGAGTGGCTGTCCCCACCATCTCCCTTCCCTATTGAGTCAGGAGACCCAGTCTCCACAGAGGGCCAACTGGATAGGCCCTGAGTTCAAAATAGTAAACTTTGGTGACTAAGAAGTTCCAGAAAAAGCATGGGAAAGGAGAGGAAAGGATAACTCATGAAATTACCCCAGAACTACAGAAGTGGATCTTTCTCTCACCAGGGCCTGGGTGGGCTGAAGAGTCAGGTGGTGAGGAACCCACTATGGAAGTTCAGCTCTGAGGTAAAGCAAACATCACCCCAAAGCCTCGGGAGAGAAATGCAGGCCATTGATAACTGAATTGGGCCCACATCCTACTTCTCAAGAGCCACTCTGGGAGCTCAAAGGAAATCTATCAATGACCTCACAGTTACAAAGGAAATTATTTTTCTTTTTGAATCTGTATCCAGTCAAACCAGCTCAGGGTGGGGGAAAGAAACTTTTCAGACACAAACATCCCAGGAAGTGAGTAAAGGAAGGGTTCTGAGCCAGAGTAAGGGAGGAAGAGCCAAGAAAGAGGGAACCAGGGTTCCAAGAAAGAGGGAGAACCAGGCTTTGAGAAATAGGACCTGATTGCAGGAGGGGAAGGGGTCCCTGAAATGACAGCAAAATGACACAGAACAACTCAGGTGGGCCCAGATCCGGACAGCAACGTGTACAGACTGAGGCTTGAGGAGCAGGGGGCCAGGACAAGTATCTCCCAGGGGAGGAAAATGAATCACTGTGAAAGCCGGAGATGCATACAGTGACACCATGTTTCCCTTCAGAATTCAAGGAAGAATGAGTGATCGATTCTTAGAAAACTGAGCACACTAACCAGGGGCCAAGGATATGGCTCAGCGGTACAATGCCTGCCAGACAAGCGCAAGGTTCTGAGTTCAATTTCTGACGCGTGCGTGCGCACACACACACACACACACACCTGCAAGGAAACTCTGGGAAATCAAAAGGCTACTCAAGAAGTAAAATATAATTTACTATAATGTATGATTCAGCTGAAAACAGAATTACCATGGCCACAAACATATACAAAGTGAACCCTGGTTTAACCATGGCTGTGGGTAACGCTCCACTAGATGAACACATGGTACTGGGAACACAGACACATCCACAAGACTGCATGGGGACTGAACGTCTCTGGAATGACACTGAAGAGCGGGGTCACCTCAGCTCCCCAGCTAGAGAGGCCATGGCTGGCATGGAGGGGGTGTATTTAAACAGTTGGAGTATTTTACCTGTGTGTGTGATGCTTTAAAAAATGGTAGGAAACTTGGGCTATGGACCAGTGGCAGAGTGCTCGCCCAGCCTGTCGGAGGCTCTGGGTTCCATCCCCAGCAGTGCACCAAAAAAAAAAAAAGAGGCATAAAAAACCTCTCCAAATTTTGGCGACACACAGACATCTGGACCAAGGAGGTTGAAAAAGATGATACAAACGCATTCTCGATGTCTAGACAGGAACCACCTGGCCGGCCACAGCCACAGTGCTGGCAGCTCAAGAAGCCAGCCGCAGCTGGGTCAGCCCCAGGACATTCCGTAGACCTGCAGTGCCACCTCTTCGGTCCCTCAGTCCCTCAGTCTTGCCCAACAGGGCTGGCTGCTCAGAAATGGCGCGAGGAACAGATACTGCGTTTATGAAGTACTTAGAGCAGTCACACTCACAGAGACAGGCAGGGGGACACCGCCAGTGACCAGGGGCTGGGGTGTCCTGGTGTTTCGTGCTTTGTGGGACTGAATGTTAATTCAGCAAGACAATAAACTGGAGAGGGGTGGCAGTGATCATGCATGCCCAGTGCCACCAAACTGTACACTATCAAATTTTATGTTCCGAATGGTTACTACAACAAAAAAATTAGACCCATTGATGAGTTTCCCAGTTTCACCTGGCATGGTTCAAATGCTGCTGCTGGGGTATGATGGATAATCCAGGTGCAAGTGACTTCCAGACGGAAAAGAAGCCTCATAATCAACTCTGCAGTTAATACGAACTCTGCTCACTGGTGGTTTAGCTAGAGCAATTATGGCCTTAGCCAGGCATGGCAGCACCAGCTCTGTAATCCCAGCACTCTGGGAGGTGAAGGGAGAAAGATCACAAGTTTGGGCACAGTTTGGGTAACTCAGTGATTTAGCAAGACCTTATCTCAAAATACAAAATGGGTCGAGGATGTAGCCAATGTGATCCTTGGACTCAGTCTCCAAGTACTGGCCAGCCTCGGGGGAGGCACAGTTCTGATTTTCTAGATTTCTGCTAATTGTTTACCTAGGATTCCACTTTCATGGCCTCCAAAAGCAGTGAGATAAAGAGCTGACAGCTTTGCCAAGAAAGGCAAAGTTTAGGTAAACATTTAACCCTGAAAGGCGGGGGCTGAAAACACAGCATCTCTTGGAGACAGGAGACTGCTTGGGGACAGGAAGCCTTGGAGGGCACAAGGTTTGGGGTGATCTGAACTATCTGCTTAACATCTTTACAAAGAAAATTTCCAAGAAAGTAAAAATCCTTCCAGCTTCAGCCCCTGGGAACTATACTGGAATCTTGAGGAGTCCTGGAGTTCTTAGACTAAACAAAAAACCAACAATAAACATTTTCCCTTCACCACAAATCTCCCAATAATTACACCTGCTGCCTTCCAGGAGTCTCGGTTTTTGCTTGGGCTTTAAAGTCAGTCTCCCTAGTCCTCTAGTCTGATGACTACTGTCACTCTGGTATGTGTCACCTGACAAAGGACACTTTTGTCTAAGCCAGAGGGCTTTAGACATGCTACGTCAGACATTACAGCTAATAGTAGCCACACACTTTCTCCCTCCTAGGGGACTCCAGGGAAAGATCTCAACCAAGCAGGGTCCTGGAGCCTGGACAAATGGGGCACTACAGTTACAAGCTGATACTGGATGCAGAGGAGGCGGTTACTGGCTACAGCCCCCAAAGGAGGCTGGGCCAGTGACTCAAGTCCTGCAAAGGAAGCTTGGTAAATGCTCTCGGAGGGCTGCGGCCAGAGTCCATACAACCAAGCCTAGGCCAGGAGGAAGGACCATCCTGTGGGCTTTC